CAGAGCTGCTGGCACCGTGAAGACCCAAAATCTAGCACATCACCCAGCCTGAGCATGCCAGTGCAGTTACACGTCTATGTACATGTCTATGTAGAATTGCTTCAGTTAATCTAAAGATCGTGGTATGGGGCTAGTGGTACTTTTCATCTTTCTCTGCTCAGTCTGAGTATGGTTTTTTTCAGGTGCCTTCCTTCAGGGCACACTCTGGTCATGTTTTCCCCTTTCAGACCAGGTCCATTCAATACACCTCCCTTTGTACAAACAACAATTCCTCAGATGGCCTGTCATCTGCACGCCTTCCTATCTGGTCCTGTGTGTAGTGACGAATTAAATGACACAAGCATACTTTTGAAACAAAGTGTTAGTTACTGTAGACAGTAGGAGCAACAAATTGCCAGACAACAACTTTCTACAGTCACCTTGGCCTTACCCACTTGGAGAAGCAAGCCAAAGTTGTCTCCACTTCTCTGGACCAGGGCTCAGTCTTTCAGGCTCCCTGTTCCTTAAAACCCCCTTTATCCACCCCTGCACCACAGACTGCTGGGATCAGGTTAGACAAAGATAAATGCTGTCACCTGCACTTCTCTTTAAATATTGAGAACTACTAGGCTGTAGGTAGTTGCCACCTATCAACCTGCAGAGACAGTCTTGCAGACACACTGCATACATGATTCTGAACTTAGTTCTTATACCAAACCAATGGCAACAAACTAGGTTCCAGGTGACTTGCAGGCTGTTTGTCCAAGCATGCATAGATTTATGGGGTGCTTGCTTAGGACCCCAGGCATTACATAGTTTCTTTGAGTACCCTTTCATACCAGGACCAGTCACAACATCTTAGTAAGGGCCAGCCCCTTTGATCCAAACTTTGGGTTATATTATTATCACCAGCAAGTCCAGATTAGTTCACCTCCAGATGGAGACTATCCCCTTGAAGGGAAGTATTGCCACAAGAAGTAAATTTTGGTGAGATAGGAAGCCTTTATAAATTAAGTCAGCATTTTGTGGAGTCATTTGGGATCCAGAATGCAGAAACCTTATGCCAGAATGGCCAAGTGACATGTAAATTAATGTCTGTATAAGCTAGAGGAACAGACACAGCCAATAATTTCCCTTGGAATCTGTCCTCTTTCTGTCTCTCTCTGTCTGTATCCTTCCCCTGCTATGTCATCAAAGTCTCTTCCACTGGGTTACTTTGAGTGGCATTCTAATCCAAGATTCCCTCTAACGTGCGCGTGTGCGCGGCTGTGCACATCTACAAGTGTGGCCACGCACAACCTTTTCAAGGCTGTGCACCAGGAGAGGCTGGGATGGGAGCCTGGTGCAGGCTTCGCTGGCTCCAGGGAAGTGCTCCGCTCCCCCACATCAGCGCTGGGGAGTGGAGCACTTCCCCAGAGCTGGCGGAGCCCGTGCCAACCCCCTATGCCAGCCTCCATCCCTGCCTTGCCTCACCTCGGGGAGGAGCCTCTGCCTGCTCCGAGTGAGGCTCCGCCGGCTCCGGGACACTGCTCCGCCCCCCAACCCACATCGCCTTGTGGGGCATATTAGAATCTAATCCTTCCTGGTCATCTAAGACATCATTTTTGAACACCTACAGGACATTCTATTCCTGAGAGCTCAGCTGGACACACACAGGGACACATGTGTTGACTAAGCGTGTTCAGTAGTGGCCATTACCCACACACACATATCTTCTGGACCCATAATGAACTTAGACACCTGAAAATTGAGTCATTCAAAACCCATAACTACACAGTCACACTGACTGATCATGTTTCCCCCCCCCCCCCCTTTCAGACACATAACGGGCCTAGATATGTAATAATGACTTGTCTAGAACCTGTGACAACCAGATCTAGCCTCAGGAGAGTCAGAAGTGCCTTTTATAATGTTAGTTACATCACTTTATTGTGTGTTTTTGGCTACAGAAACTAGCAGGCCTTAACTGTGCTTACCCAATCTACCAGCTTCATGAAGACAAGCCACTAGTTTAGTTATTTTCTTGTTCATTTCAAATGTACGTAATGCACTTTGTGATTTTCAATGGTAATTACTCTTCACCTAGTACAGTACATATCTAAGTTTTCTGATTGCCAAGGTCTCCAAAACTGATTTATACATGTAGTCTGTCCAGTCTTACCCTGATCTGTAGTACCTGATTCCCACAGGGTGCAATTAGTGATCCTGAAGCATCCCCAAACACTTGGGAGCAACAGGTACAGCTGTAACTGATAGTTCATAATATCCAAGAAAAGGGTGTAGAAAGCTGGATATGTGGTAGTGAAGCTGGAAGGGAGGAATGGAGTGGAATTGATGGATCTGAAGCTGTTTGATCCAGCTGAGATTGCTGTCTCTGCCAGGCACCATGCAAAGTGCAGGAAACAAGTTTTGGGCCCCATTCTCCTCAGATAAAGCTCTTTACATGTGATGCTCATGTCTTTGGCTCCTCACCCAGACAATTTTTTCTGGACCTTCTCTGCATCTCCTACCAAGGTAATTGCGTTGGGCTTGACGCGCCCACTAAGACGCACTCTTGAAGAATCAGCTGCTTCCATATCTGCTTCTGTGTAAGACAGAACTGAAGCATACTGCACCGAGACCTGTGCTCTGGAATTAATTGCTTCTGCCTCACCCCTGGTGCCTCTGCCTTCAGCTGCATTGGGTGGTACTAACAGGTGAGGGGAGCAGTTTCAGCCTCTGCTGTTTCTAAACAAGGGGTAGTCCTTTCTCCCTCTTTCTTGATGAAAGGCTCTTCCTTGAACCTAGCCTTGCTCAAGAAAAATCAGTGCCTAGAAAACATACAAGTTATATGCCTGCCTCTGAAGCTGGTGGAGTCAGTGTGTGGGGGAACTCTGGGGAGTGTTTTTCCAGGCAGTAAATGCTGGTGCTCCATAAAACTCTCTCCAGGGTCTGTCTACCAATTCCAGGAGATGCTGGTCACCACAACCTGTCAGGACTATTCACTCTGTATCTTCTGACAATGCCCTGGGGTAGAAGAGGATATAAAATGTGAGGGAGGAATTCCTATTTCAGCCCTGCCGCACAGATCTCAGGCTGTTCTCTGGCTTTGTGCATAGTGCTGGGTGTTCCCACTGAAAGCCTGGGTTCAAAGGGCTTGGATGAAAAGCATGTCTCTTTTAGCTGAATAATTTCTTCAGTTGATTTTAAATCTAGAGGCTTTTGGAAGTAGTTAATACTTGTTTTTTTAGGGAGGGGTCATGCATAAAGAGTTGCAGAAATTTAACAAAAAGAATAACACACACCAAAGGCTGCCAGCCTGCAACAAAACACCCATTTGATATGACTTCCAACATGAGCAGTGTGCGACAGAGCCAATCCATAGGTGAAGAGTTTGGCTGAGACCAGACTTAGGGACAGAACCTGGCCAGAGTTATTGCCTGCACAGGGTTTGCACCTTGAACAACCCCAGACACCCTCAGGACGCAGGAAAGACAGTGCTTGCTTCTTGTATCCTTGCAACAAGGTGTATCACAAAATTCACAAATTTGTTGGAATCTAAAGGACTGTTCCATGAATGCTGCTGTGGCTTTGACTTAATGGTGTTAGATTGAATAGTCTTGAGTGGCTGAGGCCAATATTTTTGAGATAGTAAATCCTGACAGGTCTGGTGGGCTTCTTTTGCAATTGTTTAAACCAAAATGAATCACATTAGTTTTTATGATGGTTGAAAATTCCCATCCTTGGAGGTGTCTGTGTACTGGGGAGGAACGGTGTTAGAGGCTCTTCATTAGAAATCATATAGCTCTAATGATCCAGGAGGTCTTTGACAGATCAAAGCTTTGGCAACTGTCCTGCTAGAAGCAAGATACAGCAGGACAGGTGGGTCATGCCAGCACCACCAGCTGACCCAAAGCCCTGGTTTGACTGATAACAGCAGATGGTGCAGCCATCAACTTCCTATTGCCAGACTTGCCTGACTGTCTCAAAGCCTTGAAGGGTTTGCAACATCTCTCATGCAGAGTGATCAGATCTGCTCAAACCTGATTTAAAAAAAAGTATTCCCAGTGCCTTTCCCAGTTGGTGCCTTATTTTTCCCTTTCATTCCAAACAAGATCCTACCTAATGCCCTTTTTCTATATCCTAAAGATAACTTGTCTCCAAGCTGTGGTCACCACCTCCGAGTGCATTGAGTACTCATACAGAAAGTATACTCTCATATTTGTGCCAAAGCTGAACAGAGCTCCTTAGTATAAGGACTTCTTAATGAACAACATCCTTTAATACATTGCTTATAATTTTCAGCAGTCTTGAAGAATTAACTTTTCTGGGATTCTTTCTAGATGCTTTTGTAGGCTTCTTGACAGTTTCTGTGAGCCAAAACCTGGGTCCATGTTCTCCTGAGATGGGATCAAATGCCTGAATGGAAATTATTTTTCTGTAATTAGAAAGGTATGTAAAAATACTGGTAAATACTGAGTGAATACTGTGTATTTAAATTTGGGATGTTGGTCCATTTAAATTCTGATAGTATAAAAATTCATGAAATTTTTCATGAAGCGCAATTTCCTTTGGTGTTGGAGAAAATTCTGGTTACAGATCTGTCCCCAGTCAAGTGTTACATTCCAGGATGTGGGTTAGAATGGGGAATTCAGGGGTCACATGGACATTCTGGACACGATGGCCTGAATTTTATTCAGGGTCAGCAATCCAGACACCTGGGAACCAAAATTCCAGAGACGCTGTTGTGTGCACAACCCCTGCATGGGTTCTGGTTGCCTGTGTCTCATACAGACCACTTTTCTTACCAACATTGGAGCTGATAGAAAAATCTGCACAAAAACACCATTTGAAGTATATGGCGGCATTATGTTTTATTCATCTCACGAATTCGATCACCTGTGCTATCTTTTCTGGTGTACCAGCAGTCAACTAACTTTTAATGATATCCAGAACTCTATTATGTTTTAGAGTATCCTCTTAACTGACCTGGATACATACTATGTCATTTCTGTCCCAGCAGGTTGTCTTCCTGGAAAGCCATGACAGAGGAAAATGATACACTTGTGACAGAGATCATTCTGGTTGGACTTTCCTATTACCCTGAGACACAGACTGCCTTCTTTTGGGCTGTGCTGATTGTCTACATAATAACCCTGATAGGGAACAGCCTCATAGTGATGTTGATAGTTGTTGACCGCCAGCTCCACACCCCCATGTACTTCTTCCTCAGCAACCTCTCCTTTGTTGACATCTGCTACTCCTCCAGCTGTGCCCCTCAAGTCCTGGTGAGGGGTTTTGCAAAGAAAGCCACCATCTCCCTTAACAGTTGCTTGGCTCAAGGCTATGTTTCCATCTTCCTAGGCATAACGGAGTGCCTACTGCTGGCTGTCATGGCCTATGATCGCTTTGTGGCCATCTGCAACCCTCTGCAGTACTCTTTGATTATGAGTGGAAAGGTTTGCACCCAACTGGCTGCATTTTCCTGGGTCAGTGCCCTTCTTCTTACTATGATCCGGGAATCAGTCCAGCCAAAGCATTTCTGTAGAAATGTTATCAACCATTTCATGTGTGAACTACAAGCGGTCCTTAAGCTGGCCTGTTCTCATACTAGTTTTAGTCAGCTTGTCAACTTAGCCACTGCTCTACTGGCCCTTGTGGCACCCTTCATCTTCATCGTGGTGACATATGTGCTTATTGGCCAGGTTGTGTTGCACACCTGTTCAGCCCAGGGCAGAAACAAAGCCCTTTCCACCTGCAGCTCCCACCTGGCTGTGGTCAGTATATTCTATGGTACAGCCATGTCCATGTATGTGAGGCCTCAGTCCAAATCATTCTCTGACAAGGACAAGCTCATCAGTATGTTCTATGTATTCATCACCCCAGTGTTGAACCCTCTGATCTACAGCCTAAGGAACAAGGATGTGCAGGGAGCACTGAAGAGGACTATCATGCGGAGAGTGTTGCATTGAATTGATTATATGTAACTAATTGTTATGTTTCAGCGATAACTGTACCTCTCATCCCTTCTCTTGTTTTCAGGGTGCCCTTCTAGGTGTCAGCTTTCCCCTTTTTGGAGGAGAAGTCCAGTATTCCCCAAAGTCCTTCACTCCCACTGGAATTTCCTCCCAATCACATGTAGCTCACAAAGAAAAGGATGTAGCAACAGTCAAGCCAAAAAAGACTACATTTAAGCTTTGTAGGGGCATAACTCTCCCATGTCTAGACTGTGATTATGACTGTGATTGTTTCAGTGAAGTCTGGCACATCTGATGCTAAACACCAAAATGTAGTGTAATGTAGCTGTGTTATGGTATAACTGAGCATGTGTCAGTAACCATAAGAGAGGCAGTAATACTAGGATAAGTTCTCTAACTTTCATTGTGCTTCCTAGTTTATGCCTGTTCAATGTCAAACATGTTTACTGCTATTGTTGCAAAAAGATCTCTCCTGAACAGTGAGTTATTTTATTAGTCTCTAGTAAACTCTTTCCTGAAACCCTATGTTGCTATATTCTGGTTGGTACCATTTATGTTCGTAGAAGGACATATCTTGTACAATCCTTTTCCACATGAAGTGTGTTAGCAGAATGCTTATGCATCTCACAAAAGATCTAGAAACATGAGTTTGGACTTCATTCTGGAAATGTGTTGAATACAAGCTCCAGCTGTTCAGGTTGTAAATGGATTCAGTTATTCAGGCTGGAGAGACTCAAGTGGATGGACATGATGTTAGCTACCTCACTCTGTTGTATGTTTTCAGCTACAGAAACTAGTCAGCCTTAACCCTGATCACCCAATCTGCCAACCAGGTTGAGTTAAACTGCTAAACTAGTTTTTTCTTGTTCTTGTCAAATGTACATCATGGAATTATTCTGCATTATTCACAACATCTATTGTTAAATAGCCTTCATCTAATTCAGAATTCACTTTCCCTATTTTAAGGGCTTCCAAATTTAGCCCCACACAGACTCTGCCCAGTCTTTTGTCTGATCTGCAGTGGCTAATTCCCACAGGGTGCCATTAGTGACCTATAAGCCATCTTTAAGCAGTCACACATGATTGAGAATAATGGGAGTGGCTGTACCACCCTGACAGTGCCAAATGTCCAAGAGAAAGGTGTGGGGCACTGATGTGAGGTAAGTGCCACAAGAATTGCAGTGCCAAAGTTGGAGGGGAGCAATGGAGTGGAGTGAGTGGATCTGAAACTGTGGGATCCATCAGAGATGCTATCACTGCCAGGCAAATATGCAAAGTATAGCAGACAAATGGTGGGGATTGGGGATAAAACAGAAGGGTTATGGTAATGTTCCCAGGAAGGAGCAGTAGGCATTGTAGCTGAGGAACAAATGTGGCAGTTTGATCAGAGATGGGAATGATGGGCTTAGATCTGAAACTAGATTGATTATGATTAGCTTTGAGTGTGAAGCCTCTTAAAATGCTCCCCCACAGCTGCACACAGTGTGGTGAATATGGTGGGTGGGGGGGTTGCCCAGGGGTGATGGCAGCCAGTGTTCCCTCAGCATGGGCAGCTCCCCCTCCGGTAGCCAGCATGCAGTCCTGGCCCCACTGCAGGCCACTCCAGCTCTGTGCCTTCATAGAGCCAAGGTGAACAGTGGGCCTGGGCCAAGGTGAGGGGCCAGGGCAGGGGTTCCTGACTGATGGAGATGGTGCTTTACCTTCACCCAAGCCCATGGCAGGGCCTGCTGTTGGGCAATGGATGGCTGCCAGGGGACAAGTGGAGCTAGGGTCAGGGCCCGGGCAGCAGGCAGCACGAAGGTGACTGCCAGGGCCTGGACAGTGTCCAGCACCAGGTGGTCATCCTCCATGGCCTGTACTGCCCTACCCAGGACCATGCTCTGCTCCCACAGGACCTCCACCTACTGACCTGCTGCAGCCTACTCCCGGTCTGCCCAGTCCCATGCTTCCTCTCACTGGTCCTGTGTAGCCTCACGACATCCTCCACCTGCCACCTGTCTTGGCAGGCCATGTCCTCCATTCACCAGGCACATACATCTGCCTGATGCTCCTTTGATGCTGTGACCAGTCAATCCAGGAGAAGGGTCCTGTCCAGGGTCCTCCTCTGGCAGAGCCAGTGCATCCACATTGCCCCAGCTGCAAGTGGCGGCAGCCCTGAGACCACATCCCAGCAGCCAAGTGCAGCCTCTCTGCTGCATGCAGCTGTAGGTCCTATAGAGCCATGAGAAAGAAGCTGTTTATATGGTTTGCAACATTTCTGAGATAAGATGGTCTGTACCAGGGGCCGTGTGGTGCCTAGCCTCAGATGGGGGGGTCCAGCGTCCAAATATGCACAGGGACCATAGTAAGTCGGCCAGGCAGACCCGAGGACAGGCAGCTGCCAGCCAAACCCTTTATCCCTGCTTATTCCTTAGGGGCCAGCAGGTTTCTGGGTGCTGGTTGCAGGCAGGGCCAGTCCAAGGGTAATTGGCACCCTAGGCGAACTGTGTACTAGACCTGTGTGAGTCAGCAGCGATCCAATCCAGCTTCGGATCTGGCCACATCAGATGGCAATGATCTGATCCAGAGCTCCAGACTGGGTTTCCGCCTTGATCCCTGCCCTCTGCTGTCAAGGAGGACATCACTGCTGGCATCCACGTATTCCTCAGCATGTAAGAGGCCCATGACTGCATAGCTGCAGGGGCATGGGTTGCTCACTAAAGCTTTCCACTATCTCCTGTGTCCCTGCATGCTGGGGTTGGAAACCAGGGGCCAAGGGAGTGGGGCCAGGCCACCTTCATCTGGCAGCTGCCTCCTGGGCCATCATCTTTCTGCTGACTCAGACTAGGGCAGTAATCTAGCCAAGAAACGTCTGTGGACAAAATGTCATCAACCACTTCACTTGAGAAGTGCAAGCATTCATCAAAATAACATGTTATGGCACACATATTAATGAGTCTTGTAACATGGTCACTGGTCTGATGTTCCTTGTTATGTTCTTTGTCTTCATCCAGGTGACATATGTGCACATCAGCCTGTCCATACTGTGTATCCACTTGGCTCAGGGCAGAGCTAAAAGTTTCTCCACTTAAGGTTCTCATTTGACAGTGATGAATATATTCCATGGCATAGCCATGGCCATGTACCTGCAGTCTCTGTCCAAATCTACCTACAGGATGGTTTCCATGTTCTATGGTGTTGTGACTCCTGTACTGATCCCCCTCACCCACAGCCTGAGGAACCAGGACATGCAGGGGGTACTGAAGAGAACCATTTTAAGAAAACTGTCTATGCAGAAATGCTTCAGTGCATCAAAAAATCATGGTTTGGGGCTTATGGAACTTTTCATCTCCCTCAGCTGTATGTTTTTTTGGCTGTCTGCCTCCAAGGCAGATTCCTGTGATGTTTCCCCCTCTCAGACCAGTTCCATTCAATACAACTCCCTGGGTACAAACAAAGATTCCTCAGATGGCCTGTAATCTGCAGGCCTTCCTATCTGGTCCTGTGTGTAATGATGAATTAAGTGATACAAGCATACTTTTGAAACAAAGTATTAGTCACTCTAGACAGTAGGAGCAACAAATGGCCTGAGAAAATGGAATTTAACACTATCAACTTTCTACAGTCACCTTGGTCTTACCTACTTGTTGAAGCAAGCCAAAATTGTCTCCTGCATGTAGGATGATACCCCGCTTCTCTGGACTGGGGCTCAGACTTTTACCCTCCTTGTCCCCTTTCCTTAACACATCTCTTTGTTGTGTGTTTTTGGATACAGAAAATAGCAAGCCTTAACTGTGCTCACCCAATCTAGCAGCTTCATGGAGATAAGACACCGGTTTAATTTTTTCTTGTTAATTTCAAGTGTTCATAATGGACTTTGTGATTTTTATTGGTAAATACTCTTCACCTAGTACATATCTCACTTTCCTGATTGCCAAAGTCTCCAGAACTTAGTTATATAATACAGCCTCCCCAGTCTTAGTCTGATCCCACAGGGTACTATTAGTGATCCTGAAGCATCCCTAAACACTTGGAAGCAATGGGAGTAGCTGTATCTATTTGACAGTTTATAATATCCAAGAGATGGGTGTAGAAAGCTGGATTTGTGGTGACTTGCACAGGAATTGGAACTGAAGTTGGAGGGGAGGAATGGAGTGGAGTGTGTGGATCTGAAGCTGTGGGATCCAGCAGAGATGGTGTCTCTGCCAGGCACTGTGCAAAGTGCAGAAGACAAGCAGTGGGCTCCCTTTTCTTCAGATAAAGCTCTTTACTTGTGATGCCCATGTCTTTGGCTCCTCATCCAGACAGTTTTTTCCTGGGTCTCCTCTGTGGAGACATCTGCGGAGACATCCCATTGCCTATGAATGTGACTGTTGGGCTTGATGCACTCACTAAGACGCACTCCTGAAGAATCAGCTGTTTCCATATCTGCTTCTGTGCAAAACAGAACTGAAGTGTGCTGCACTCAGACCTGTGCTCTGGAATTAATTGCTTCTGCCTCACCCCTGGTGCCTCTGCTTTGAGCTGTGTTGGATGATACTAACAGGTGAGGGGAGCAGTTTTAGCCTCTGCTGTTTCTAAACAAGGAGTGGTCCTTTCCCCATCCTTCTTGATGAAAAGCTCTTCTTTGAACCCAGACTTGTTCAAGGGCAATCGGTGCCTAGGAAACCTCCAGGCTATATTCTTGCCTCTGAAGCTCATGGTGTCAGTGAGTGGGGAGTGTTTTTCTAGGCAGTAAATGCTGGAGCTCTATAAAAATCTCTCCAAAGTCTGTCTACCAATTCCAGGGGATATTGGTCACCACAAACTGTCAGGACAGTGGCCCGGATAGAAGAGGAGATAAAATGTGAGAGGGATATTCCTGTTTCAGCCCTGGCACAAGGATCTCAGGCTGTTCTCTGCTTTGTATAATGTTAGGTGACATTACAACTGTTTCTTTATCCCACTGAAAGCTCGGAGTCAAAGGGTTTGGAGGAGAAGCACATCTCGTTTAGCTGCCTAATTTCCCCAGTTGA